GCTAACTAATAGCTCCTAGGATGTCAAGTGTATTCCAACAGAACTGGCAATACTCCTCCGATCGCACAGGTATTCTGTCGTATGCTTGTCTTCCCTTTCTATGGCTATTTGCTGGACGCAACAATATCTTCCTTTGGGCGACAAGCTTCAGCGTACAGTCGTTCAATATCTTCCATCGTCATGTGGCTTGGGCGTGTACCATCTTCGCGATCATTCATTCCATCAACTACAGCGTTGTCTTTGCATACTATGGTGGGTGACATACTTGTGATGAAATCCAGGCTGTACTAACAAGGGTATGTCTATAACAGACGGCAGATTCCAAAGTGTCTGGATTCAAGAGTACTGGTACATGGGAGTGGTGGTGAGTGGGCGGCAGTGTTTGACTCCGTTTGAGATATTTCCTTACTAACTCCCATCTAGGCCACTATCCTGATGTCTTTTATGCTTGTTCAATCTATGACCATGCTGAGACGCATTGGCTATGAGACATTTCTCATAATCCATATCGTTTTCGCAATTGTGGTTGTGTATGCTCTTTTCCGGTACGTACCCGTCCTGCGTCATTTACCCCTGTGGCCATCCGCACTAAACTAACCTCTGAACTGTTTAAAGGCATACCAGTTTTGACGGCACCAAGTGGAATGGCTATCTGTGGCCCATGGTGGCAATCTGGGGCTTTGATCGGACTGTTCGTCTGGTCCGGATAGCCTACTGCAATCTCAATGTCCGGTTTGGCAAACAATTCGTGTCTACCACCCAGTCCACGGTACACTACTGCGAGGCTGGCGATCTCATCAAGGTTACAGTATGCCCTGCATCAACGACGCTTACACCACGAGCTGGACAGCATTATTATCTCTATCAACCTGTTTCTCTCAAAGGGTGGGAAAACCACCCGTTCACATTAGGCGCTTACATCTTAACTCAAGATAAGCACGCTGAGCAAGGGGACAAGTTAATCTTCTACATCCGCCCCTATGATGGATGGACGAGGCGACTTCGCGATCTTTGCCGCCAATCCCAGGTGGACGTTCGTCTCCCACTCTTGCTTGAAGGGCCCTACGGATCTCCAGCTGCTCTCCACACATGCGAGTCCATTCTGATGATCGTTGGTGGTACCGGTATTGCCGCCGCCGTGCCATATCTCATTGAACATGTCTCGCGTGCGAAAGAAGGAACGACAAGAACGGTCCGGATCCAACTAGTTTGGTCTGCCCGGAGCACAGAGATGTACTCTCAGGTCTTCTGTGATGAGCTAAGCACCCTCCTCCACCATGAAGACATCACCACGACCTATTTCTGCACCAACAAATCCTCATTGGGCCTCGAAATGAAAAGTGGAAGTGGTGACGGCCTGGCAGAGAGCCCAACAAGCTCCACATTAGACGACAAGGAAGGAAACATGACGTCGTCCGTACGAAACGGAACCGTTCGGTTTCTCCCTGGTCGTCCTGATGTGGGCGGTATTGTCAAAGCGGAGGTGCAAGAAGCCAAGGCCAGTTCTGGCCGACTGGCAGTGCTCACCTGTGGTCCAGCTCAGATGGCGGATGACTGTCGGCAAACGGTGTATGAGGTAATGAAAGGTGGATTCCAGGACATTGAGTACCATGAAGAGGCCTCGGATGGTGATGCAGGTTTATTTTCCGGCAGATCACGGTGGGGGCTACGGCAAAATTGATTGATAACTAAATCGATTGATTAGATAACGAACAGGAGGGTTGATCACCGGAAGGATCAGAGGCATGCATGCAACGTTGGCTATTGGGTTAGTTACGCTTTCATCTTGATAGACTTTTGTTGCCCTATAGTCAGTGATAAGAAGGGCCTTCTTCAACAGCACACAACCAAACATACAGGCCGTTGTCTCCTGCGGTTGCTTATCTGTGCCGATCTAGCCCTTACTATATATTTCGTACGAAAAGGTATATGCTGCAAATTGGTGCTGATAACTCCCCTAAGCAAATGTCAGCCGAATCCATAGTTCCATCAACTCTGTCTCATTATGCCTCTTGCTTTTCCCAACCAGTAGATGAACATATAACGTAGTATCCGTAGCTTCCCAGGGCTGACAGCCTGTCCCTGTAGGGCGAAGCAGGGCGGTCAAACACGTGTGGAAAAAGGAGTCGGCCGACTTCCGACTCCAACTTGTGGTTCTTTTCCTTTTTGTCCCCACACTCGGTACGGACTTGCAGGAATCACGGCAACAGTTCGCTTCGTTCCTTACTTTTTTCTGCTATCTTTTTGTCTTCCCTTGTGTGGTGTCTCTGATACTCAATGAGATTGTACCTCGTAAACTACCATCTACCACATAAATGGTTTTCCCAGGAAGGCGAAGTACCGGCTGCTTCGTTTGTCGCGAGCGGAAAGTCAAGGTGCGTTGTTGATGGCGCAGGGTCGGCTACAACCATTGAGATACTGACGGCTAATCCAGTGTGACGGTGCGCGGCCAGCATGCGCACGCTGCACCAAGTTTGGGAGAAAATGTATTGGCTATCCCGACTCGTTTAAGTTTCGACTCTACGACAGCACGTCCTTTCAGAATGAGGCTTCAACCCCACTAAGACCTGGACATGTCCGAGCGAACCCCGCTACGGTCCAGGAAGGGAAACGGAGGGATCCATCAGTTGGAACTGCGCAGGCCACAGGCCATGATCACCCAAAATCACCCTCCCAGTCGCAATCGCCATCCGTGCCTCAGTGTTTGTCGATTGCTTCCTGGGAACTCTGGCCCTTATCCTACTTCTTTCATCAACATGTCCTTATCGTCCATAGATCTCCCTGTGGCGGCCATCTGGCGTTCCTACCGGATCTCTACCGTGACAAGGGCTCTGAGCCCTGCCTCAAGCATGCTGTGCTTAGTGTCGCATATCTAACCCTCTTTAATTCCAACCGTTCTCACTTCCTTTGGACTCAAGCTAGGAATAACTACAGCACCGCCTTGGTGGCCTTAGCAGCGTCTTTAAACACACCAGAGTCAGCTGCTAGAGATGAAGTATTTGCGGCCTCCTTGTTCCTGAGCATGTTCATCGTATGTCCTTTCTACCTGAAGTCAAGGCCTCGCTGAATGGTAGGTTAACAATGGTTTAGGATTTAAGCAATGAAAGAAAGAACTCGTTGAACGCTCACATTCCCGGCATCCACGCGCTGATGCAGTTACGGGGAGTCGCCGCTTTGCGTGGCAAATATGGTCGGGTTTTACTTGCATGGGCCTTTATGCAATCGGTAAGTTGAATGACCAAATTGTCAATGTTGGCGCTACGAAGTTCTAAAATAGTACACGGTTAGCAAATACAAGCCATAGCCAGCAACGACTTCGGATATGGTTGCTTACCGGCACCTTTGAGTACGATGGAGAACCCCGACAGCGTCTGCCGTGCTGGAATTGTAATCAGCATGATCTCAAAATTCTGTGCATCTGTTCGATACTTCAAAGAGTACATGCAGTTTCAGTTTCAGAGTGGCTGTGCATCAACTACTGAGCCGTCGTTCGAAATGTTAGAGCAAGCAGGCTCTATCATGAGCCAGATCGACAGCTGGCACGCTCGGCTTCCACGTCACTGGAAAGCTAAGCTGAAGGATGCAACGCCTGGTGGTCTTCCCAAGGAACGTATCTCAGCTTCCGAGGATCCTTGGACGACGTGTTTTGTAGCCATCATTAGTGCGACCCACCTGTTCTTCTACCTGCAATTTCTCGAATACTGTGAATGCGTCACTCCTAACCTGGAAGCCCTGAAGGCGCTTCCAAACGAAAATTCAATCTACTGCCCACTATATGGTATTGGCGGTCGGATTCAGGATTCGATCAACATCATATGCTTATCGGTGTCATATGCACTGGGAAGCATGAACATACATGGGGGGTTTGAACCCTTCCACAATACCAAGCACGGAATTGGGTACAACCTCCTCTGGCCTATGTCGCTTGTTGCGACCTGTCAATTCGCCATGACCGAGCAAGCTCAACTTTGTCAGCGAGCACTGGCGTACACCTGGTCGACAATGGGCCGTGTCGACAGCTCATCCTGAACCAAAGTCTTGAAGAGAATGTGTTCAGCTACTCGGTGAAGCTTAACCACCAAACACCTGTCTTCTTGATAGACTACTCGAATTAAATTTTGGTCGTCTTTGTCATATGATAGCACATTGACTCAGGGACAATCGATACTAAGACTATGCACCCTGTGGTGAGATAGCCTCTTGGCTGAAGCGGGTCGATGGTGGGATTTTCGTCAAAGAGTACTATCGCCCTCGTGCCATCAATCCTCGGCGATTCCGCTCGCCTGAAGTTGCCGAAATTCTCTTATGGCCATGTTACTGTGAGCCATGTATGAGATACTACCCAACAGGTTACCGCCACGTTTTGACGTCCGCAGTAGCCGCAGCACAGGATACCTTGAAGGCTTGACGCTCCTGAAACAATGTAATGATCAGCCCTGAGTTCTTCCCGAGGTTGATAAAACAAATGACGAAACTGACATTTGTTGGCCTCTGCCAAAGAAAAAGAAACGCAGACTACTGTTCCAGAACAGCCGACCCAACCTTCAGCAGGGGTCTACCACCTGTTGTTCATATGATTTTGCGGGCTGGGCTGCGGGGCAGTGGCGACACTGAGAGGGCCAGTACAATCTTAAGAGAATCTTGGGATGTCCAGGTATCAGTACCCTGCGTCATGAGTGGGAATCCCTACGCAATTCTAATCTTTCTCCGCCACCCAATGTTATCTAACCTAAGTAGTCAAAGGGTAAATGATGGCAGATTAAATCAGAGGACTCCACACGCCAGACACAGGTTGCGTTTCGGAGACTTAGTGGATTCCCTTCAAGGGGCTAAGATCTACGGAGGTATTGGTTCTCCAGCAACCTACTTAGTTTGTTAATCCTTTGAGTTATAGCCATATAAGCTAGGCACTATCCGTTGCTGAAACCAACTTTTCGTCCACTCAATCATTCATTCCTTACGTTCTGTCACTCGTTTGATCTGGCCCTTCTACCTTCGCAATGTTGTCACTCCTTTTCTTTACATCTGCACTTGCGGCGCCCGCACTCAATAATTCGTCGTCTTCGGTTTGTGGCGCTGGTTCCTCGACCGGCACATATACCATCCGTGCGAACGACACCATTTACTCCGTCGCTACCACTCTCAATCGTGGGGTCTGCCCACTGGCGAGGTACAATCACTTATCTGACCCCGAGCTTCTGTATCCCGGCGAGGTGCTTTACATCCCCCCTGAAGCCTGCAACACCGACGCTACCGACACCTCCTGTCTCCTCAGCCTCGATAATTCGACCACCAACGATTGTATCTTTGGTGGTCCCCATACATACCGCACCTTTGAAGGCGACACCCTCCGCAAAATCGCTCTGGGCAAGTTCAATATTACACTGGAGGCCCTGGAAAGTTCTGTTGGTCGCATGGCGGGTGTTTCGTCACCCGACGAAACCATTGAGCCGGACACATTTATCAAGCTCCCGCAGTGTAATCCTAGCTCGTGTGGAATAAAGCCGCTCGAATACGTTTGGGGGACGTACAAGGATCTAGCGGAGGAGTACGGAACAACGCCGGGGCAGATCTTTGCTTTGAATCCGACTTTTAATCACAGTTCTACGGGACCGGGCGTGGGGGATGGATTACGTTGCCAGTCAATTGCGGACTAGACGGGGAGGCGTATGCCATTGTTTCCTAAGTCTTATGTATCATAGTTTCGACAGAAAGGTAGCGGCTCAACGGTCTGATTGACGAACAATCCATAGTTCAGGCGGAGAAAATAGATTATACGTTTCAAACATGCGATGTATACCCAAGGACGACCGAGAAGAACACGCCAAAACAGGCATGATATGCGCCCAAGTCGTCGTCATAACCGACGACCCTTTCCGCATTGCGTTGAGAGCAACGAGCCAAATGTTGTTTTTCTCCTCGGCCATCAACGCGGGCTCGGGGGAAGTTACCCGCAGGAGGGGGAGTTTGCGACAGTCCCCACCTCAAGTTGCCCTAATTGCCGATGATCCACTGCGACTCCACCGCGTAGTCGATCCATAAGCGATAATCATTCTACCAGGCCCGCGTCACGCTGTGGAGTCTCGAGGAAGTCGTAAAGTCATGTTCCTCTGATATGATCAGTGGCTAGCCATGTCGGCTTCCGGAGTAACAGCCAACTGGAACTCGGGTATGAGAGTAGTTAACTGCTAGAGATTGATATGGCAAATATGAACTGTTAGACAGTGGCAGTTCTTATCCCTCCAAGTCGTGTACTATTGTAGAGATGAGGGTATTAATGTACCATGATAGGTAGCATGCATCTCTTTGTGTAATGCATTCCATCTTCTGTGCCTAACTTTCGCAATAACTTCTACAGCAGATCATATTCAACAACCATCAACTCAAAATGGGTGTAAAAAAACATGCTATTTATTGCGATGACAGTATTTCCCTGATTCACAGACACAACTACATCCCTCATGTCAGATAGTATGTCAGTCCCATACGGGCCCCCAGTAATCATTCTCCCCTTGATATGCCTCGTCATACCTCTGAGGCCGGGGATGATGATAATCCTCCCGGGATCCTTGCGGCCAAATGGGAATGGCACAGAATTCATCGTCGCGGTGCCCACGACACTCCTTCCACACCGTCCAGTCCAGATAACCCACCAAGTCCCGAATAGTAGAGATCATAGCCTGAGGATCGGTCTCCTTCCTGACCGCCATTAATGTCGAGCAGATCCGGTGATTGACAGCGTACAATGCCCTGTGCGCCAGGCATGAGTTATCATTTGGAAGTGGAACGAACTGCGTAGAGCAGAGTTTGATAGCCTGCTCGTCATCTCCGCTACGGACATCGATGAACGGCGCCATGAGGCGGTCAATCTGGGCGACTATAAATTCGCGAACGTCAGAATCACCGCGATGATGTCTCCGCCGCAGGAGACCATGTATAAAACGGCCGTATTTCTCAACAATCAGGTCCGCGACAGCCTGCCAGTTCACGGAGCGGTCACTGGGGTCTTTCGTCACGACTAAATGCGTCAAACCATCACGAATGGGTTGTAATTCCTCGGGCGACAAGTGTGTCAAACGCGGCAGCGTGCTATCTCCAGGGAACAAGTCGAGGTCGTAGCTATAGGCTGTGACAAAATGGTCGTAGTTCACTCGAACCCGTTCACCACCGATACCATGGAACCGAGACGTGACTGCTCTCAGCAGCTCCCCAGGCTTCCCCTTCGGCTTCCCTTTCTCCTGCTTGTGTGGTCCCTTCGTGACACCAGGTTGTCTCACCTGAGTTACCTGCACAGGTACCAGGTTTACCTCAGGATCGCATAGAATGATCTCAAACCCCGCAGCCATGCGAATGACGCCATCGACCCGTCCTTCCCACTCCGTCTGCGCAAGACGACACACAGCCCTCGCCCGCTGATCTTCCATTCCAACCCCGCCGTGCAGGGTATCGTTGAACAAGATCCGATCCTGGGAGTCCAGGGTGCCGATCTGCGATTTTCCCGCGGAGGTCCCATCGATGTAAACAAGGCGCAGCTCCTTAGCGGTTAAAAAGGTATGAAGGAAGCCTGAATCATCCGCAGGTGTATCCTCTGCCGCCATCGCATGCTGTAGATGTTGGTCCGGAAGCATAGACGGAGACGGTCGTCTAGCCGGACGAGCAAAGACCATCGCATGATCAGGTTCAAAGGCCATCCACCCGATCTTCTCGATAGGGTCTGGCCGGGCGTTTCCGTGATAGAGCTGGATGCCCTCGGGGACGGTGGCCAGGAAGAATGTCATGCCATTGTGATGAAGTGATGAGCCCCACAGCCGCATTGAGGCGTGAATGGCGTTGAAGATATGGTTTGCATTGTGCATGGCAGCGCTGCCAGTGAGAAAGAGGGCTAGCGTTGAAAGTATATTATTTGCATGCATGAGGATGATAGAGGTGAGGTGTATATTGTGTTTGGGATGGATGCTACGGGCCATAAGTAGATGGTGCAGCAATGTCATATATAAGCTGACACATAACACTATTGTTTACTCAGAGTAGTCTAATCTACGCCTACGCTTAGGCTTCTTTTTTCTATTTTATCCATTTTTTTGTTTTCTCTTTTTTTTTTTTTTCTTGCCCCCAACATCGCCTCTTTCCGTGATCAAACCATGGAATTCCTTAACGCCGAGCTCGGCATCAGATTCGGATATAGAAAAGAGAAGCTACTAGTCCATTTACAGTAAGAAATATGTCCATCCATGATGGATAACGAGCATAGTATTGCAAGTTTAATCGCTGCCAATCATGTATGCATACTCCTTCCCTTCGCCTTGGAATATGCCCTTACTGAGATGTACATAAATTAGACAGAGCGAAAATGATGCGAGCACTCACTGTTGCTGATAGCGGTTTCTAGTGTCAGTTCCCGAACGACATCTTCAGACTTGAATGGACCGACGATAAGCTGCTACGATATATGAGTGGTGACTCGAAACAAGGAAAAATGGGAAAATGGGCTACATCTGTTGCAGTACAGTTGGCGTTCATACACGTATAGTGTATGTTTTTTTTTCTTGCTTGCTGGTCAGCATAGAGCCGGCTAATTGCCTCAGACAGAAAAGACTACAGACCGTATCCACATAGCAAACGAGCGTAAGGATATCAGACACAAGTACCCGTTCAAATCTATCATGATCACTAGTAATCAAAAGCTTGCTCTCCCTCCATATGGCTATGCACCGGAGAAGCCACCCCATTCGTTAAGATCCATCGCTCGATATTTGAAACAGTGATGTTTGGTAATATCACAACCCTGGAAAGTACCGCTCGCTCCGGAATGGTAGATCGTGCCGCAGTATATGGCAGTCGGATGATCGCCTGCCGCCAGAGTGTCAAAAACATATATCGCCCGGAATTTGTACGGCTCCTCGTTTCCGCCTGTAAAGATGCCATGCTTGAGAATAGGAAACTCTCTCCGATTGGGTTGGTCGTTCTTGTTGCACTCCGGATGTAGAAATTGAAAACCCTCAATGTTCCCGTACTCATTTGGATAGGGATAGTCTTCGCTTGGCTCGTTATAATCAAGTCAGTGCCAACCGCAGTTTGATTAGTTACATTCTGGGTGTGTAAATTACACTTAACCGTGACTCCTGCCACCTGCAGAGTTACACCATATGATACAGCTTTGTTAACGTTAATTCCTTTCACTGTGATCCTGCGTAGCTGGGGTTAGTGGATGCTCATTGACCTCATTGACTTGAGTGAAGGATTTACCACACCTCATATCAGAGTCCGAATCAAGACCTATAAGATTGACGGGAATCTCATTGGGGAGATCCGCATCTGTTGCAGGTGATACGGTAGACGTTACGAGAGCGCGAGACGAGAGACAGAGAGCTACTTGAAGCTTCATCGTGGATATTACGGTTTGTAATAAATCTAATCTGGCTGTGTGTGCACTTCACGGCCGTGTTATGGATTAGTGCTATGAGAGGTAAATGGGAACTTATATAGACCATTGATGGGCATGGAAACTCTTGATACCATGCTCTTCCTCCCCTCCACCTTCCCAATTCGCAGTCATGTAGTACTCTGAATATTTAGTATGTCCCTTAGATTGATCCAACAGCTAACAATCCAAAGGTTCATGAAAGAACCAGCCTTGAAGGAGCTAACGGGTTCTCGCCCTGGTGTTCATCCATGCTTCTTGATGTGGTAGTTGGCAGCCATCAAAGCTGTCTCAGAATTGCACTGCAGGATGTTAACCCATCCCACGGCGGTAATTTTGAACTTGGTCATCTTCTAGAGGTTTAATAGGGCGTTAACATATCAAGCAATTTTTAGTTATCGCCATGCTATTCAAATTAATTAGGATTACCATATCTCTCTCTTGGGAGTATATAGTGGTACCATGGCCCTTGGTGAAAAGAAAAAGGTAAAGATAATAGCAAAGAGAAAGAGAGGGGGGAAAAGAAAGGAGAGAGTGGTACAGGAACCTGTAGAGCAACCAGGCGGTTGCTCTATTATCAGCTATGGGCGCGAAGACTGAAGGGATAGAATCATACATTTCTGCTGCATATTGTTGCTGGTATATAGGTCAAAGTCCTGGCTTGATTGAGTGTCCTTATGTTTTATAGCCATGCGTTTGAAGTAGGGAAGAAAGTCTGGAAGGTGGGAATCGGGCTGGTACCACTTGACAATGATGGGAAGAAAATCGAAAGGTGGGACTCAGTCAGGTATTCACTTTAATATATGTGGAATACGAATTCACAAGGTTACTCTTAGATTGGGTCTCTTTGATCGAACGATGTATATACTTAAGTATCACATGATCACCACCCCTGACAGTATCTATAGTCTCAGTCCTGGATGAGCTAGGGCAAAGCAGATCACGAGTCTTATATTTTCTAAACCAGGCGGCTTTTCGAGCGATTTCTCTACAGCAATAGCCTTCTTCAGTGCTTTGTACTTTCAAACTACGCTCATAAGATTAATGTAACTTTATGCCATATGGTAGAGCTAGGAGGTAACTAGCTGTATCGTTGTGCAGAGTTATTCCGATAAAACACCTCCCAACTAAAGCATAGAAAAAGGCATGCAGCAGCCATTCTAAGGTGGGGCTCATCTAGCGCCCATGGTTCGGGCATAGACACCAGTTTACTGTCTGCCCGAGATTCAAGGGCCACTTCATTTGCTACGTCTCGCCAATAGATACAAGAGGAATCTAAAATTTCAATGCATCACTGAAGGTTTGTGAAGGGACGAGTTGGTCTGCGGAAATGCCAGGGCCTCTCTGGGCGATAACACAGATGATAGGCCAGTACGCGCCAGTCAGACTCACCCTCCTCAACCCTGTCTTTCTAATCTCTGATGTCTTCTATTAGAGGCATGAAAAACCGACACACTTCCGGGACTGGGATGGAGCCCAAGGTGACTATGACTGCTAGGCTGCAGGACGAGCAGACTTGATGCCCCCGCGCCCAGCATGAAAAGTCTGTCCACTTGCTCAGGGGTCAGCTGTCCAAAGGCATTTTAGGCGCGACTCATCCAACAGTCATGACCACTTCTTTAGATCTAACTGCACTTCGCGTGCTAGAGAGATAGAATCGCTCTTCCAACTAAAGCTTGCCGTGAGAATGACTTTCCAGTCGCATCTCAAGGAGAGATAGCCGGCGAAGACAGCCTTCACTGCATCGATAATTGCAACTTTGGTGCGGCCGATGATAGCAATAGTTCGATTGAGAATGCTGTGGGTCGATATTATGGGTTGATAAGTGGAGTGCGAGGAGGACAACGCAGATAGTGACGATGGGTACGACTCGAATGATGCTACCGGTAGCGACGACGACGATCATGACGAAAATTCCGATTTGGTGATAGAGACTAAATGTGACTGACGACGATGAATGGTGGTAAGCGTTTGGATTGATCCACAAGGGGATCGAACTCAACACCCTCCACCTTTGCTTTGAATGGATGTTGCATTGTAGATCACTTGTTTCTGGCTTCCTTGCTTTTATTGCTTGCTTTTGATTTTTACCGGCAAAACGCGGACGTTGCTATCATGGGTGGAGATTTCACGAATGCCTTTGTCCCGTAATGCCTTCCTCGACATCACTTATCTTATGCTCGAATTTATTTCTTAAAGGAGAGAAATCGCCTGAGTCATTGAAAGTTGTTCTATCGCTGAGATTCTGGATGAACTGTATCTGATTTGACAAGTGATAGGTAGAGCCTTACTCGAAACTACTTCTCCGTAGGTTCAGCACCATTCGTTTGGGCCTGCTGCACCTTGGCGCCCGGGAAGCGAGTGCCCCTGTCCTTGACCTTCTTCTGTTTCTTTTCCACAACTGGAGGGGGATAGGCCTTCTGAGTAATCTCTTGCCATTCCGGGGAGGCTTGGTAGGCCGCTTGTATAGGTGCCATAAGGTTGACAAGACCCGCTGCTACAGCAGGCTTAAGCAATTGTGGTGTTAACTATACGGTATTTATGTTAGTTTCTTTTGTTCGAAGTCGAGATTGACACGGGAAGATCAAACATACAACATCGTTCGCGTAATCTTCCTTAAGTTGCTTGATATCGGTGTAGATCAATGGCTCCTCATCCCTTCGCTCGACTCGGAACTCCTTGTTGCCCTTGAGATCAGCGGCGGGTAGGAGAACATATTCCACTAGTGCGATAACTCCGTTATCTTCGACAACCCGAGGAGCGGCTTCCGCTTTGCGAATCTTCTTCGAGATACTCTCGGCTGGGTCAAGCAAATCGATCTTGCTATCTGTTCATTAATTAGTTTTTAGCGACCTCCAGCGAAATCGGATGGGCTAAAGGGAGGATTACCTTCAACGCTCGAACTCATCTTAGCGCCCTTCAACCCGCTGATCATGGGATTGATCAGATGTGCGCGCTAGAGACGAATTCATTAGTTTTTAAAAGATTTCTTGTCAAGATCAGCGGTAGCCATACCTTGCGATAACCGATTTTAGGCAGCCATTCCACGGCGGCGGTAAAGAGTTTCCTCTGGTCCATACCTCCGAGCTGAGCATCAACTTTGAGATGCTCTTCGTCGAGCACCTGAAGCACCGGGTACAGAAGACCACTCAAGGGAGCATTGTCGGTCTGTTTGACAACCTCTGCGCCAGCCTTCTTAGCATCTCCCTCGGAGATCAAACTCGACAGGCGATACACATCCATGACATATTCGGGGCTTTTTTGGTAGGAGCTGCCAAGAACGAACTCAAGCTTGTCAGTCGGCACGCCCACAGACTCGAGAATTGCCGTGATAATCTTGCTATAGTATTTAGCACGGTTTTCGACAAGCTCGAGCGGCGCCTTCAAGTTGTCAAGGAAGGCATGGACATCGGCGAGCAGGACAACGACGTCGCATTGTGCACGGAGCAATTGAGCGATTTTGAGCGCAGCGAGGAAGTATCCAACGTGTGGCCTTCCGGTGGTTGCCGTACCTAATACCAACCACAGGTTAACTAGTGCAGGACTGTGTATCTAGAATGACTCTTACCCCAATAGATTCTGGGGTTTCTCTTTTCGATCAAGATTTGTTCAATCAACTCCGGGTTCAAAACCTCCGCGAGGTTCTCGCGGATAAGGTCAAACCGTGCTTGTGCTTCCGAGTCCATCGCGACGAGTCTAAGCCAGAAAACGATATTGGTAGAGAGAGGCGCAGGGAAAGATAAAGGCGGCGCTGGTGGGCTGGTGGGATGGTTTTCTTAGGCGGGGAAAAACCGTCGGATCAACGGTTGTTCCGTTGCCATTTTTTGAGTCAGAGCGACAGGCGGTCAGGGGTGGCAGATAACATTCTTCATTGTATCAAAACCCAATCGGAGAGAAGTCCGCCACCCGGTCCATGTGACATGGCTTTCTGCATGGCCATTCTTCGTTGCAAAGCTTACACACGCCACTACTTGATGTCGTCAAGAGACGGACCGGCACAAGGCCCTTTTTCTAAGCAAAGTGCCCATATCACGTGAAAACGTCAATTCATGAGAAATTTGGGCTGAACTACGACTCAATCGAAATGGGGTATCATAGCAGAAAGTAGTCTGTCAGAGGCTCGGCAATGCAGTAAATAGCAACATTCATCCATCCACGCAAAACAGTCTGAAGTAACGTCCATCACGGTGACCGTGCCCACTCCAATTCCCTCGGGCTATTGTTATTCATGGGACTTCCGAGATCCCGATAAGGTGCTATCGGCGACGCCTCCACGGTCGTCGTCATGGTGTTCCGATCACCAATGTGAAACTTCTTTGTAGCGAGAATGTCTGTCCTACGCGGTATCAGTTTCTCACACTGCGCTAGAAGAAACAAGGGAACTTACACCATAACCAGTGGGAACAAGCATTCCATCGTATATGCAAACCGATCAAACTGGCCCGCCACCGTCGTGGCTGTTTGGGATGTGACCTGCAACGAATACGTAACTGCGCGGGTGATCCCGATAACGCAGAGGCTGGCGACGCGCACCTCAGTTGTGCGGAGCACATGCCGGAAGACCATTCTTGTGAAGGACAGTTTAGGAGAGACGCGGTATGCCTTGTGCAGAAGCCGAATGAGAAAGAAAGAGCTGCACGTTTCGACCAATGCGATACTTGCGAAGTAACCGACGTGCAGGTAGTCGATTCGGTGTTGTAAGGGGCCAGTAGAATGAGAGGACACGCCTTCTTGAGTGATTTCGAGGACTCTGCTGGCGAGTATAGTCATTCGGATGGAGCCAATTACAACCATGAAAAACCAAAAGAGGGAAAGGAAGAGTATCCGGACCGAGTCGCGGAGAGTGTGCAGTAGTATTTGGTAGCTATAGAAGGAAAGGCCTGCTTCTTGGACCTACTGTCTGGTTAGTACGGCATTAGGTTACTAGAGCTAACTGAATGATGCACTCACCAGCCAGAGGATATCAGCAATGGCGCTGGCGGCTGCTCGGTTTCCGGTAGGATATGATGTGTAGAAGGAAAAGTAGCAGAGTCCGTTGGCCACGGCACCAGCGGCGGAGACAACGATGGGGATGAAGCTCAAGGGGCTGGGCCGTGTGATGAGCATGGCCCAGATACTCAGGAGTGTTGTGAACAGTCCGATACTGCTTAGTATCGACCAGCTCAACTCATAATAGCTGGCGATTTCCGGAGAGGCGCCAGATGGTGGGTGGGTATCCATTGCTTCGCTTATAGTATGTCAAACGAATATTTTAACGGCAAAGACTGCTGGAGCCCTCCCTCCCCCTCGGCATTCCTATGAAACAGGATCACGAGAGCAATGAATTTCCTCTAAGCTAGAAAGATAAGAAGCAGGGGGGGGTGGCTTTCGCGTAATTATATCAATCGTGTTCTTCAGACTATACTGCTAAAGAGGACCTGCATTGGAACACCAAGAGCGTGCAGTTCCATTCCCCGCATTATCCACACTTCATGAATAGGGCGTCCGCGGTAATCTGGGGAAAAACTGGGGTCGATCCACGCAGAACGGATGAAATACCGCGTCCAAGTATTAGCCCTAGCCACGGATAATTTAATCCCCAACGGATGGTGGCCGAGCGTTAACGGTTATTTCTTCCGTCAATCTCGTACGTTTCTCACCCATTAGCCCGGCTCATTGAACTGGTGGGCTGTGCGTGCCATCTTCCTGCTTACGAATGCACTAACCTCGCTTAGAATGATTGAAATTAGGATTCTTACTAGTGTGGATGTTAGCCTTCACTAGGCTGGACCCGGGGGGTTCGGTGGATATCCCCGTCGTGGCTTGAGGGTAGACCCCATACAGCCGAGCATAAAATAGGCTAATAACATATGCCAAGGCTAAAAGAGACATACCAAACACCCAACAAGAAAGAAAAACTTAACGTTCACATAAACGGGTTCACGCATTTTCTCCCGGACTCAATTAGCAGCAAGCACTCCCACCGACCAAGCCGGTAGCATGAAAGTAAACTTGCCATTCGTCGCCTTCACATCTGACTCACTGGGCGTCACCAGAGTCTGGCTATCCGAGTTGAACGCCTTCGGATCGCTGTCTGCAAGAACCGTCAATTTTCCACCCGTCTTCCCGGAGATGGACACGCTGATCTCCTGCGAATCAGCTCCATAGTTGGCCAACTTCACGTAATACTCGTCTCCGGCACTGGAGGCAACCCAGTAAACAGGTCCGAAAGCAGAATCAGAGGTCACGCTATGGAGAGTGTCTCCGCGGTTTACAGAGAACATCTGCTGCACGTAGTAGCTGGTGGTCTCGATGACCGTGCTAGGGTTCTGTGTGAAAGCAATGAGATTCGGCTATACTCACGTCAGTTTTCTAGTCTACCCTTGTATTCCACGAGGGGCTATCCACGTACCGTCCACTGGGTAGAGTTCACCAGTTGCAAAAGGGGAGCATACGCTGCCATCTTGACGACATCGCTGTTCCTCTCAATGCCGATCATGTACACGGCCTCAGCAACGGATCCCTGCATGAAGGGCCAGGCATTGTCCTGCTGGCACGAATACTCCCCGATGAAGTACGGGACGGATCGGTCCTTGTTATCGAATTGACTGAACTGCTTCACGAGGTTATCGGCAGTATTGTAGTTATGATAGTCCACCCAAGCGCCTTCCGGCAGCTTACTAGGCAGACAGGATGATTGGTCAGTGCTGGCGATGATGGTGAGATCCGGATAGGCAGCGTGAATCGCATCGTAAAAAGCAGTAAAACGCTCTACGTAGGATGCACAGCCGCCACCTAGCATATCCTCGTTACCGATCTCGACCATGGTAAGTTTCCAGGGTTCCTTGCGCCCGTACGACGCACGAAGGGAGCCATATTCTGTGCTCGAATCGCCAAGAACGTACTATGATCCTGTCAGAGGCATTCCTGCTGGCAATGGGGTACGAAGCATACTTCAAGCTCACTCAGCACGTCATCAATGTAAGGCTTCAGGCGTCGCCAGTGATCGGTGTGTTACCACCGGACCCAAGTGCAAAGCCAGCCCATACACCCAGGACTGGGGTAAGTTCCATATCCTCGCACCAGTAAAAATACTCATCAAGGCCTGATTGAACGGTTAGGCTCAGTCTAGTAGTATATTTGAGGTGCACTTACCCAGTCCGTCCGTGTTGTAGTATGTCCAGTCGCCTTGCGTCCGGGGCGGTTTTCCACGGGGCCGATCGTCTCATTCCACTTCCATCTCAAAGCTTCACTCGCGCCCTCGCTGTGTCTATTAGGTTGTGTCCATCCGGAGTACCTGGCACCAGGAAGGCGAACACTCACAGATTGTTACCTCCAGGGAATCGCAAGAAAGATCCCTTCATGTCTGCCAAAGGCTGAGCCACCTGAGGTTTCAGCCCATTAGACCTAAACACCATATCAGTACGATTCGTCACGGCACCGAAAGAATCACACAAACCTTGACTTGTACGTTTGAGGGAAAAGCTCAAAGAGCCCAAAGTTTAATGAGGAACCACCAACGGATGCTCCGTCAAGCGTGAGCTCATAGAGCACAGCACCATCAGGGGCCTTCTTGGTAGGAATCTTTGCCGTGACCTGGGTAAAGTTGCCTGAGTTCGAAGATTGCGAGATCTTCGTCGAGCCATACTCTGTACCTGTGTTGTTCCCTACCAGTCGGACCGTGATGTCGCCGGAGAAGTCACCCTTGATCCAAAAAGTGTTTAAAAACTCGCTCCCATCTACTGGGACCCCCCAGTAGCCTTCGTTGGTAAATCCGACAGCACCAGATGCGCCCTGTTTGACATCAAGTTTCAAACTATGCGGGATGGCTTCGGTCAAGGGGTTCTGCGTGTCAACGGCGATAGTGGCATCGCCGACGGCAGCCCACGCAGTCAGGTCGGGATTACTTCCCTGCAGGCCATTATTGCGCAACAGCTGTCCATAAATGCCTCCATCGCCGGAGTGGTTAATATCCTAATCTCTCTATTAGTTATGAAGTCCACTGTCCGCTGCGTCGGGATCGCATACTTCGAACATGAAGCCATACAGAATGGGGCTGGAAGAGTTTCCTTTCTCAGTGGAAACCTCTAGAGAGACACCATACACATTCTGAACTAAAGAAAACAGGAAGGGAAGGGCACTGAGCCCCGAAAGAGTTGAGAACGCCACCATAGTTCTATTCCCGATGTGGTACCTGAAACTGGGAGCATCGTTCGAGGGTCATACTCCATGCTTTTATAGTCGCTCTTGAAGAATAATTAACCGTTCTCGGGCTTTGAATATAGGAGAATGAGGCAGGGAGCCGTATAGCAGTGATGAAGACATTCAACCGAGAGTGGAGAGAGCATGGAAAATGCGGAGTGCCCGATCATACTGTGATGTGAGATACCCACATAAAAGCATGCAGTGCGACATGTTACAGTGACAGCCAAGGATATGGCACGCTGAAGCCCAAGTCATAATACCTGTTTTTTAGTACCACTTCCAATCGTCTATTGTCAGCATAGCCCACCGCGATATCCGGAGTGTATCCGAGCTATATCAATAGTTCCTAGATGGACTATAGTGGATCATACGACATGTCGATCTTTGTCCATTTACAGTGAGACAGCGAGTTATTCCAGGTATCCAAAGATCCCAAAACCAGGGACCACTGTAAAACCTCGGAGAAATATAATCTACACCCACGGTGGTACAAGAGACCTCACGCCCACCGCCACCACGAATTCTTAGGGTAAAACAAGCTTTATGGCTGCCAGTATACCACTGCCCAGCAATTTCTTGTGTTAAGGAGGCGCCGGGGTGGGCTGAACAAAGTAAGTCAAGGGCCTCCAGAATTATTACAAGTCAGGCACCAAGCCAGCATCTGTAGCACTCCACCATCGTGACCACAAGCCGAAGAAAGCAACGCGCTGTGGGTAATATCACACCGGTAGCCCCTTCGCAGCTGCAGCATCTTGGCGCAACTCTCAGGCGATTGGCTCGGTCCCTATCGGACCAAAAATGGTCCCTGCTTAGGGCCGGATAATAATATAATTTAGTTCCTAAGTCCATGCACGATGATGTCGGTTGTGTATTCCCCCTCTTTCTTTGTCTCCGCATGGGTTCTGTAGGACGACGCTCAGGGCAAAACCCCGGCGGGGACGGGGTTCCCTGTCGATCATCTCGCGGAACTACGAGTCGTGCGTCTTGGAAGTCTCACTCGGCTATCAAGAAGCCTATGGTGGCTGACATTATGCATGAACTGGTTGTACGCTGAAAGGCCCTGAATTGGTCAATCCATATTTCTCGTGGCTACTACTCACGGCCCCGAGTCAGGGGTGAAGAAGGAAGCGATAGACATCATAGCTGTGGTGCATGCCTTGCAACATGTTGCATGCATACTAGTATCACTGGGAAACGAACATCGCGTGGCGTATCCCTGGGTTATTGACATGCTAACGCAGCTTTTGGACCATACCAGGTTGGTGTGGTCTCTTGACAGGTCCAGGTGGATGTACTGACATGTACTAATAGTCAACGACGTCCAGTACGAAGATATATTCTAACGTACTACACAACGGCAATAACTAGTGCTCAACTCCACAATAAACATCAAATAGTAGCGCAAGTAGCTATACAGAATATTAATATTAGTAATGCGATAGATTTGTGATGAATCACAAATGGGTGTTAGGCCATTGTTCAGCAAAGGAGAGCACAAGAGCGTGAAGTGTTTATTGATTTTTTGATTTTTTGGAATATATACACAAATAAAAATCAATATTTCAACAGATCCTCGATGGTCTAACGGTCATGATTTCCGCTTGTCATCTCATATGAGAACAAGCGCGGGAGACCTGGGTTCGACTCCCAGTCGGGGAGATCTTTTTTGGCAAACATTTTTCTTTTCCCTCTTGTTTTGGCTGACCTTGTAAGGGGGTACATACCTCTTCTTTTTCTCTTTCTCTTTCTGCTTTCTCTTCACAAGGCATGGAACATATCCACGTGTTACTCTATCGTTTGGCATTTCTTTATCCAATGTTCGGCTTCTTCTGACTTTTGTTGTAGCATCACTTCCAACCACAATGCAGACCCTGCCCTCCCAACACCAGGGCTTCTTACTACTGCAATATTTGGTGCCAGCAGACTGGGCCAGATACATCGGGGTGCGTATACTATATCCCATGATCTATATGGTACCGCCCACTACATTGCGAACCTGTTATTTCATATGTATCGATCGAAGTAACTGGACTTGTGTGTAGTATGTTCTAGAATGCCGAGGGCGCCTGTAGACATGAACTATTAAATATAGGATATGGACTTCTACATCCTGTAGTAGCTGAATTTTGGTGTTTATATAACGGAGGATGTACTAGACAACCGGTCAGCCGGGCAAGGACACGGGCAATAGAAGTGTGAAGGCTTTCGACCATTCGATAGTAGCCGGAACATTGACTGAATTATATGTATCCTCTCTCATCCTAACACGGCCGTTCTGTTGTAGACGCATTTTGTTTACACCTCATCAGATAACTGCTAGTAAAAATACACCCTGATCGCTTGAATCCTTCATATACATATATATAGGAGGGTATCCTCAAGCCAAATTTCGCAGAGCAAAGAGAAAGATCACATAGCAATGACGCATACTAGTCACAGAGCCTACGCGAAGCGTCTGTTTCTCTAATATTCATTTTAACCAGGAGAAAAGGGAAATAACGAAAAAGATCTCACAACGTATACTGTGATCATGATCACTACTCCCGTCGAGGATCACGGTTGATCATGGAATGGCAGCCCTGCAACCGCTCGAACAAGCATATTCATTGCACTCGCCGGCCCGCCTCCGATTGACACAAAGTGGCGAGGATTATATTTAGGACCATACATCATCAAGTCATAGTTTTCATTTATCTCAATAACCGATCCGTCATTAAGCAAGATTACCGGCTCGACTGGGTGATGTACGACGGTGGAAGAGAACTCCCGACTCCAGAGACATGGATAAAATCCACTGACTGGTATGGTGTACTAATAAATGACCATGCGTTACATAACTAGGAGACCATCATGCAATGAAAATACCTAGAGATACGCGCCAGTAGGAGATCAAGTATTCCAGAACTCTGCGAAGATGACTAGGAGTACAAACACTGTCGACCGGCTCCATCTTCTAAAAGCCTCCCTGGTTGGGTGGTAAACTTCATGTTCTTTGACCAACGCGCCTGCAGAGACTTAATATACTGTTAAAAAAAGATCCGAATGAATTAGTTTTCGATCTACACCCCATCAAGCCACTAATCTCTCTAGGAGGCTGGCCTGCGAGATATAGAGAAGAAACAGGATACTCCGGCTCTTACCTTATATCTTATCCTGGCCTTTGTTTTGTTTAATGGTCGCTTCCTATCTTAATTCTAGTTGCTAAAGTAGCTCTGACTGTTCTCTTTTAACAGACAGGATCCGGTCGGATGCTCCTCGTCGAATAGCGAATGCTAAACAGGATAAGCTGTTACTCAGCCGACTGATATAAGAAGATATAGTTCTCTAAATTGTGTTCGTGGTATCGGTCACGTATCTCTCGCTATTATCCATTACATATCAGATTCACATGACAGTCAATATGATCGACAGCAATGGAGTCTTCAGAAGACAGTCTGCTTTGGAACTTCAGGGGTGGCTGGTTCGGTAGCGATATGATATACCCTGTCACCCACGGGAGACCAAAGATTTAGGAATCAGTATATCAGCGTTATTCCGCGCCTTGGAACTTAATGTATCCGGGTGGGGTAAATGGCTACTATTAATATTAGCACTACTTGTCTCCTTACAATCGCTCTGAAGATCCTGGAACATATCTAGAAGATTGCTACTACGTAAGGCCCTCTCTACCACAAGGTGGTGTGGGCTCACTGTTTAGAGGAACGTATTTACCACGATCAATGTATCAAGTTATAAAATTATATACTACTATTCGGTTCTAGATACTGGAGAACCGTATTCCATTACATGTTGAATGCGAAATATTAATGTCAAGTCAGCCAAGGGTCATCAGGGGCGCGATTCTGGATGGTAGTCCAGCCCGTCTGCGTGCTCCTGTATTTGCGGCAACTTCGGCGGCAAATCGCTTTCAGGATCGTCTTGGATGTCCTTGTTGATAGGATCCTCTGGAGCTAGGTTTGGCTCCCTCACAAGGCAGGAAGCATACGTGGTGAAGGGTACACTCACCCAGAACACCACAAACGCGACGATCAGGTTAGCCATGAGAGAGACGTTCTCGCTGGCGCCAATGCCGAAAGCGATAGCAAAGCCCAGACTCTCGAATGAACGAAGAATTCCAGTGGTGTATGCCAGGACATCGACATGGATATCGTATGTTCCCAGAATCCAGTACGTCCACACCACTGATGCCTGACTTCCGACACTAATTCATCCAATACGTCAGTAACGAATCTCTAGTGTATTCACAAGCAAATGGACATACCCAAAGAGACAGTACGCGGCGATCGCCTTGCCGTATCCAGGGTCATAGATATCCAAGGATGGGGTAGGATTTTGCCTCTGCAGGTCCGTCTGCATGACAAAATTCAAAACCCACTGCGGGATAAACACCGCGACCATCGTCAGCCAGCCTGCAAGCGCCGTTCCTCGTCTCGTTCGGAAGATTTTATTTGAATCCAACAGCCAGCCCCAAAGCACCGTAGCCACAATACCGACAATGGTTTGGACGAATCCAGCCAGTGTCCGGCCCCGGACCGAGAAGTATTCCGTCAGATAGTTCCCCTGGTATGTTTGACTCCAGCGCACGGTGATGAAGATCGGAATCAGAAGCAGCATGTACTTCTGCTTTGTTGCTTTCCAAAATCCCCTGAGTCCCTCCTTGAACGAAATACGATGTTCGTCGGAGCTGAATGTCGGTTTGGTTCCGTCTTTGCGAATCAGCTTGTGCGCGGGAGCGACGGTTAACGCGAGGGGGAGACCGCCGCAGCTGAGTCCGATGAGAACGAGGTATGTCTTAGGGCTGATGCTGCCCTTGCTGGATGAGTCTATGTTGAGCGCGAGTTGAATGGCATTTCCAATGACAGATCCAAGCTTGTTCAGGGCCATCCAAATGCCGACTATGGGCCTCGTTAGCAAGTGCCTGTCTTGTTGGATCTCATGATTCAAGATCGATGGCACTTACTGTAGGT